CCATGTCCTTCCTGTGTTGGGGGCTCCAGACCTGGACACAGCTCTCCAGGGGGTCTCCCCAGAGCAGAGCAGAGGGGACAATCCCCTCCCTGGCCCTGCTGCCCACACTGCTGGGGATGCAGCCCAGGACACGGGTGGTTCCTGGTTCCAGCACACAGTGCTGGGTCATGTTGAGCTTCTCATCCACCATCAGCCCCAAGTCCTTCTCCTCAGGCTGTTTTTGATCCATTCCCCACCCAGCCTGGACTCAGGTTATCAGCTGCTGTTCCAGAAATGCTTGTCACCCTGCAGTGCACGTGTTGGATCCCTACCCAAGGCCTCAGGGAAGCCTCCCAGGGAGCATTTCTGTGCTGGGAGCAGCTCAAACAGGGGGTTTGAGGTTTGTTTTGGTTTCTTTTTCAATCTGGAACCATGTTACAAAAATGATGCAGCTGAGAAAACCAAAAACCTCTTTTTTTTCCCCCCTGAAGTGGAAACCTTCCCATGTCTCCCCTGATGCTGAGCCCAGGGAGCTCTGCCTGCTCAGCCCTGAAACTGGAGCTTTAAGATGTACCATTCCAGCCAGGAATGTGCACAGGGATCACCCAGGATTCCAGGATTCACTGCTGCCAGTGCCCAGGGGGTGTTTTCAGTCAGTTCCTGGTTCTTTGTGGGGGCAACATGGCCATTAATTTTTTTAAAAAGGGGAAAAAGGGGGTGGGACAGGTTTATTTATTCAGGCTTGATGTGCCCTATAGAAAAGGGTCAGTCTGAAAACACTGAGGCTGTGGCTGAGCTCTCAGTGCTTATTGATTAGGCTAATTAGGATTTAATTAGTGTTAGGCAAGAAGCTTAGAACCCAGGGACAGTTTAAGGGGCCACCATGGTCTGGGGTAGAAGGAGCAGCAAGAGAAGCAGAGACTTGACAGTCCTGACCTGACCTTCCTCCCAGTGCCCAACTTCCCTCTTCATGGGGAGATTCCAGGGAATCTCAGGATCCTTCTGGTTGGAAAAGAGCTTGAACACCACCCAGTCCCACCAGAGAATTTCATGAGCCAGACTCTTGGATTTTGGGGAGCTAAAATGGGAGGTGTAAAACCAGTTTACTTCCTTGTGCAGATGGTTGGTACAGTGGGAATGAGGAAAACACTTGTACAGTTCCTGTCTTAGGGCTGTGGGAAGGTGTTGCTGATCCCTGTAGGGCTCTGGGAAGGTGTTGCTGATCCCTGTAGGGCTGTGGGAAGGTGTTGCTGATCCTTGTAGGGCTCTGGGAAGGTGTTGCTGAATCCTGTAGGGCTCTGGGAAGGTGTTGCTGATCCCTGTAGGGCTCTGGGAAGGTGTTGCTGATCCTTGTAGGGCTCTGGGAAGGTGTTGCTGATCC